TATATATATATATATATATATATATAACGTCAATGATTTTTATTGTCAAGCATTTTACCTACCGCATTTTATTTATTGCAAAAAACATTTTAGGTAAGGTAAACTGACAATACAGTTGTTATCAATGATAATTCTCATAAAGATTTGCAAATTGTTAACATAGATTTTAATCCTCAAACATTTTCAATCGAAAAACCTTCGTATTCAGGAATTAATTGTAATGTAATCCATCAGGGTGTACAACGTTCACGTTTAATATAACAAATAATAAGTAGATTTGTTTTGTATTCGCTGTTATTTTTATATCCGTTTAATTTGTCATAATAAACCGTGATAACTCAAATATCTCAATTTTATTTTCCATTTTTTAAATACATTTTTACGGTTGCGATAAAATTTTGTAAGCAACACGTCACTTCATTTAGATAATCAAATGTTGCGTAAGGTCTATAAATTTGTTTACATAATAAAATAATACCTATACACAGTGATCAAAAAATGACGGATAACCTCAATCATGCATTCTTGAAAAAACTTTGGGGAGTCCGTAGAAAATGTAAAAATACCTATAATAATAAAATACCTATACACAGTGATCAAAAAATGACGGATAACCTCAATCATGCATTCTTGAAAAAACTTTGGGGAGTCCGTAGAAAATGTAAAAAAAATTATTTTCTTATTTTTATGAGCTATAATGAATTGTGAATTTTACTAAGCTGGCAATGTTGTAATGTAGCAGCAAAAATAAGAAAGTAGCGAACAATTAAGGTTATTTAAGTTAAGATTTTCTAAGCTAACTATTAACATTTTTGTAATAATGCGCATTATTTAGTCTTAAAACTTCATGCTATAAAAAAATCTGTTATTCTGTTATTATGGTTATAAAATTTTTATTGTTACTGTAATTATTAAATGTGGGTGAAACAATATTCTGCATGTAATTATTGTTTGCTATATACAATATGTCCCCGGATTGAGTTTACAAAAGGAAAAAAAATATCTTTGATTTTATGCCAAAACTGCAAAAGAAAAACATTTTTTGCTTTACCTGAAACGAGCAAATCTGTAATTCAAACTTCATTATTCTAACTCAGTATATTATTATAGTATTTCACCGAAAATTATGCAATTTGAGCTTTTTTTGGGTACCGCATACTTCAAATCAGTTTTAACTGTTAAATACAGGGTGATGAAAAAAAGGCGCCCACGATTGAAACAGGCGCGTCCTTTTTTATTGAAACATTGTGACCATCATTCCAAAAATAGTTTAAATAGATTCTTTTTAAAATTTAAACAGTTTGTCTAACAGCACAAATAACAATATTGCACAATTTTCTTTTAGTAAAAAACTATTTCACTCAGGTATTTTACGTATCTAAGAAACCAGTATACTGACAGATATTGTCACCCGCATAAAATAAAAAACTGTAAAGCTTACATAATTTTATTATTCCAATACGATACGACCAAAAGGTATTTAATGATTTCAATTAATTTTAATCTTTGACTTTTTGACTTTAATCGTTCAAATTTCACAGAACAAACAATATTGAAATTTTTTTTGATGCTACCGTTTTCAATAATTGAATATTACTTGGACATTTTATGTATCCTAGGATATTTGCAATGTTGCAACAATGATACATTTTCTTTGGAGCCAAGAAGTGGTATCACAACATCTACAATAAAGTTTATTTCAATAGGCTTTTTGCACATTTTTTTTAAGAACACCGTCAACTGTATCAAAATCTAGACTTTAACAATGAAATTATTTTAAAACTTTTAATTATTTAGATTTCTCTTTTCTAAAAAGGAAAGTCTATATCTTACTGATAAGAGCACAAATCCAATTTTGGTCTTCGATTTCGTCTTTAATAAAAGATCACTTATAATGTGTGGGTTAACACGGGCGCCTTTTTTGCATCATACTGTATAATAATAAATTTAATAAAAAAAATAACATGAAAAACACGTGTTATAATCTTTCATTGTGATACTCGTGCACTGTAACACTCGTGTCACAATGTAACCCTTGTTTTTTTAATATACGCGTACTATTATACGCGTTTCAATGAATAAAGTACTTAAAAAGATTATACAAAATTTATTTATTTATAAATTTTCAATTTTAATGTTTACTTAATTGTAAATATTCCCTGCTATGACAAGCATAAGGCAAAGAACACTTCCTGACCTCAAGCCTCGGCTCGCACTTCTTTCCACCTCTACTTGGATATACTAAAATCGCTCTAGTCCTCTGTTGCACCGCCGAATCACCACAATTGCTACTACATGGCGACCAAACCGACCACGGCCCCATAACGCAATCAACTTTTCTTCCTCTTCGAGCCGGTCCCCACGTCGGTAATGTCTCTTTCGAGTTCTGATTACTGGGACATGGGGCGTCACAATACTTGACTTTTTTCAATCTTTTGGGACATGGTTTTCCTCCATTTTTGGGATGAACCAGGATACGACGTTCGCGGAATTGGTTCCCGCCAGTGCAAGGTTCCGTTGCATCACAGGAACTCCACTCAGACCATTTGGTGACCTTGCAGTCGACTGGAGTATCGGAAACAAGACTCTCGGAGGTGAGGGTACCCTCTTCTTCGTCGCATGGACTATTGTAACAGGGTTCTTCTTCAACGCAAGGAGCCTCTTCGACTTCTTCGTTGCTTGTTTCTTTATTTTCTTCATCTTCGTTTTCGTCTTGGAATGTGCCGTTGCGTTTGTGGGTTCCAGTGCCACAGGTCACTGAGCAAGGGCCCCAGTCTGACCAAGTTGCATGGGCACATTTTTGCTGAAATTATTAAAATTAAAACTTTATTTCAAGACCGTTAATTACTTACAGCCTGTTCACATTCTTCAGTCGTACATTCGACGGTTTCTTCCATTGGGAGTGGAGCATTTTGGGAGCAATATTCTTCATTCTCTGGATTTTCGAGTTGCCTGGTTCGAGTTTTGTATTTTTGAGTATCACAATCACAACTTGTCCATTCGCTCCATTCTGTTACTTTACATTTGTTTTCTTCACAAACTTTTTCGTACAGTTTTTGTCGAGTGATGTGTAGTTTTGCTATTGGTTTTATGGGTTCACCATCATCGCGGTAAAAAGGATAATTTTCGTCAGTTGCAGAAATTACTCGGACGACTTGTCGAGAAACAGAAGGCGCATCTGAAGACTGTTTAAAATTCAACTACACTACTCCAAAAAATTAAAGGAACAAAAAATTTTCCTAAATTTGGTGATATTTGAAAGGCCATTGAAAAATGGTCGTATCTAAATTAAAAAAAAAATATTTTAAAGCTTTGAGTTTCTAGTTTTGAGATCTTTTGTGAATTTTTTTTTCTGTTCTACGCTATCACGTAATCTTAAGTAATAGTAAATTTTTGTGTTTTTGCTTTTGGTCCACGGACGTAGAATTTTTTTTTATTTAAGTCAATGCATAGGCCGGATAGTCTGTTCATTCACCTTTAATATGCCTTTTTCATATGCTTTTTACGACAATTTGTCGTTGAGATATCGGACTTTAAATGAAAAAGGATGCTTTTGTTTCTGATTATCGATATCTTAGCAACCACACAGAGAATATAAGGGTAGTGTTAAAAACTAGAATAAATGTCTTACAAGATCCTTTTATAATTAAAAAAAATTTTTTTTTATCCTCAACATTGATTTAAAGAAAAGAGAAAAAAGTTACTTTCTGCATTATTTTAGTAAATCTACCACTTATTCACTAATATTGAGGGGAGACTAAAGTTTTTAGATGTTTTTACAGCTTAATGTTCCCCCCATAGTAAATTTTTAAGTCGATCCATCAAACCGTTTTCTCGGACTGATTGATCAAAGTTGTACAAAAGATTTAAAGGAACAATTGTATGTACATATTGTTTCTGAATATTGTCTAATCTTCGTCAAAATGGAAAAAATTATTTGTTTTTAGCATTTTTTACAGTTTTGCATTAGTTATTTGCTAAAATAATAGTACATTATATTATAAGTGATCATTATACACGAGTAAGAATTTTGACCGAAGAGTGCGCTTGCGCACGAGTGGGACACTTCTCACGAGTTTCATAATGGCATTTCGATCACGTGTGATATACGACGTTTTATCTTACAGGTGCAATTATCCAAAAAATGAAGAAATCAAGTAAAATATTCCTATAAAAAATATTCCCTAGAAAAATATAATAGTAAATATAATATAATATTCAAATTTACTCACTTGTGAGTACTTTATCTCACTTGTGAATAATATTTGATTTCTATCACCAAAAACAATGGTCTTAGGTAACTCAAAAACTCAATCTGTAAGATAAAAAAAATAAACAAATTTTTTTTTCAAAATTTGTAAAAATATTCAAAAAACAGTACTGCTTCATT